CACAGGTTCCAGAAGACTAAGGGGCCATTCACAAAGCGCAGCACTTTTTGCGCATGTGCATTGGGAACCTGGCTGTGAAGCCGCAAACTGTTACAGTCAGGTGCCCACACTGAAGATGCCGGCACCAGGGAGAGAAGACGGCCGGTGAAACCACCTCTGGACTGAGGAACAGGTAAGTGTCTGTAATTTAAAAGTCAGCAGCTACAGTTTTTGTAGCTGATGATTTTTATTTTTTTTTTTCAGGTGGAACTTCACTTTAGTCATCTACTCAACTGCTCCCAATCTCCAAAACAAAAAAACTAATATAGTGTAGTAATTCCACATATAATGTGATATACATGATACCCCCATGCATGTAAATACAGAACACTTCATGAATAGTATCCACCACTATCCACACTAATTACTCTTACCATCACAGGGTCTAAAATGTGCATACGACTCCCCATCAATATAGCTTATCCTATTGATTAACGTGCAACCATGAACCATCCACCTGCAAACAAATACACCTATGAGGAAGTTCATTTGATGACGAAACGTGTCAGGGGGAAGTGATGTCAGACATAATCGGACGTGGCGCTGCATCCATTTTGCTACAGGTTATTTGCACTATTCTTTCATGTAAGTGCAATTTTAACAATAAATAGGTAATTTTATACTACTGCTGCAGTATGGGCTTGTATGTTTGCTTTTATATGGTGATTGAGAGTTTATGAAGAACTGTTGAGCGGAAGCGCAGAGTGAAGATTGCACTGAGTATTGAAAGTACATATCGATTTATGCAGGGTAAGATGCATGGTAAAAGGGGGGGAAGGGAAGAACAATCGTATTTGTTTGCACATTGGAGGTGGATGGTGCATGGTTGCACTGTAATTAAGAGGATAAGCTATATTGATGGGGAGTCATATGCACATTTTCACTCTGTGAGGGTAAGAGTAATTAGTGTGGATAGTGGTGGATACTATTCACAAAATGTTCTGTATTTACACGCACGGGTGTACCACGTATTATATTATGTGTGGAATTACTACACTACAGTATCTCACAGAAATGAGTACACCCCTCACATTTTTGTAAATATTTTATTCTATCTTTTCATGTGACAACACTGAAGAAATGACACTGCTACAAAGTAAAGTAGTGAGTGTACAGCTTGTAAAACAGTGTAAATTTGCTATCCCCTCAAAATAACTCAACACACAGCCATTAATGGGCCCAATTTGGACATTTTCACTTAGGGGTGTACTCACTTTTGTTGCCAGCAGTTTAGACATTAATGGCTGTGTGTTGAGTTATTTTGAGGGGACAGCAAATTTACACTGTTATACAAGCTGTACACTCACTACTTTACATTGCAGCAAAGTGTAATTTCTTCAGTGTTGTTACATGAAAAGATATATTAAAATATTTACAAAAATGTGAGGGGTGTACTCACTTCTGTTAGATACTGTATATTAGTTTTTTGTTTTGGAGATTGGGAACAGTGGAGTAGATGATTAACCATTTGCCTATGGCCGAATGGCGGGCGGCAAATGTCATCACCGTTCCGGATGGACGCCATATGGCGTCCTCCCGCACATGCGCAGATTGCGCTCCTGCAGAGCGGCGCGATCTGTCACCGGCCGTGTACCTCGGACACGGCCGATGACAGATCTGAGTATCGGCCCCGTTGCCGGCACCATGTGACCTGCTGTGACCAATCACAGCAGGTCACGACAGTTGTATACAATGGATGGCTTCATTCATGCCATCCATTGTATACTAGTGTCTAGCTGTGACTGGTCACAGCTAATCCCATGCACATGTCATGTGATTAGCTGTGGCCAAATCACAGCTAAGCACAAAAAAAAAAAAAAAAAAAAAAAAAAAAAACCCTGAATGAATCGATGTCATTCAGGTAAATGCTTGCTTATAGCAAAGTAATTCTTTGCTATAAGCAAATTGTGTAAAAAAAAAAATACTGATCACTTCCCCAAAGTAGTACAATGTTACTATGGTAACATTGTACTACTTTGGTCATAGTGAAATCTGAAAAAAAAGAAAAAAAATTTAATAAAAAATAATAAAAAAAAATTTAAAAAAATAAAACAAATATATATATATTTTTTTTTTCATACTGTCACCAGTCAGTGTCCCTGATAACCGCCATTCCAGTTATATGATGATGACGCTGTACTGCACTGGTGACAATATGTAAAAAAAAAATAGTGAAACGTATTTTTTTGTCATAATTTTTCGGAAAAATTATAAATTAAAAAAATTAAACTTCAAAAAACTCCCCATGCCTCTTATGAAGTACGTCGGACTGTCTACTTTGCAAAAACGGGTCATTTGGGGGATATCTGTACTGTTCTGACATTCTTGGACCTCAAGAAATTAGATTGGCTGTCAGTACTTCAGGATTGATCAATATTCAGATCTATACCATTGTTTGTGAACTCTATAACATTCCTACAAACTAAAAAATACATCCTAATTTGGGTTATTTTCACCAAAGACATGTAGCTGAATACATCTCGGCCTAAATTTATGAAGAACAATTATTTATTTGCAAACTTTTATAACAGAAACAAAGAAAAACTTTTTTTTTTCAAAATTTTTTGTCTTTGTTTGTTAATTTAGCAAAAAATAAATACCCCAGTGGTGATTAAATACCACCAAAAGAAAGCTCTAGTTGTGTGAAGAAAATGATAAAATTTTAGTTTGGGTACAATGTTGTATGACCGTGCAGTTGTCATTCAAAGTGTGAGAGCGCTGAAACCTGAAAACTGGCCAGGGCAGGAAAGTGTAAAATTGCACGGTATTGAATTGGTTAAGAAGAATAGACAGAGATTATATGATATACAATACATTCTTATTGGGAAGAATCTGGTGAGAATATATGAAAATCTGTGAAGGGTAGTCATGCGCTTTTTTGTATATGTAAGACTGTTATGCCCAGAGGGTGTTTGGATTTCAGCTGCACACTATTGACTTTGGGCACTTGTGGCAACTAAAAGATCATTGTAGGTATGCTGTGCATATCTGTACATTATGGCAAGACCTCCCATCACCTAGTAGATATTATTTCTACTTTAATTATTGCAGTTTTATGGATTTTGTTTTCATTATTATCACCTCAAGTGGCTCCATTCTCTGCTTTCTTCATGAGCACCTCATTGAACCTTACAATTAACCAGGCAGAAATCTAGTGAAAACCCATGTAATAATTAAAAAAAAATGTTTTACATGCATATATTTCAAATAATATAACCCATGTAACAGTTAATAAAGCTGACCCATATTAAAACATTTTTTAGATTTGAAATAATCTATAAAATATGAAGTTAGTAGAAGGGAGTTTATGGACAGGTAGAAAGGTTAGCTGTGACCAGTGTTACTCCGTGGTCAATGGTTAATAATATATATTGATTTTCCATTCCTTCAGCAGAGAATAAGCCTGTTAATTACTACTACTATACAATCATTAACAGTAATAGTATTGGTAGTTGTATCAACATCATATCAGTAGTATGCCCATAGTAACAGTACACGCACATAGAATTGTAAGGTGTAACTGCCTCTATATTTTACATTGTAATTTGGGAAATGGGTATGGTGGATATTTTGCACCCATGACGTCAAAGCTTATGGGTAAGATGTACTAAAAGCTAAAAAAGGTTATTACTTATGCTCCATGCACATTGGGCATATAAAACACCAGCTCCCTTGGCAGAAAAAAACATTCATGAGCATTTTTGTACACGTTTAGGTGCATTTAGGAGTGTTTAGCTTTTTTCTGCTAGAAAATTCCAATCAAAAACGCAAACCAGAAGGAATTTTTTTCTGCCTTGCTGAGCTTAAAATATAACTCCAAATGTTCAAATGCGCACGGACACATAGGATAACATTGAGCTGCTTTTACAGGCAAAACGCAAAACTCCTGTAGAAGCAGCATTATTAAAGCCAGTGTGCAAGGACCCTTAAAATCAAATTAAAAAATGTAATTCAGTTAACAAAGCATATTAATATTACTTTAATCAGTATCAATAGAAATGCTCTTCCCACATTCAACTGAAATACACTATTAATATTCAATTCAATAAACGTTTTCTCTGAAAAAGTGTTTCTATATCACCGGGCAGACTAAAGAATTAAATTGTGCAAGTAGAGTAGTGATGGGCCAAACATCCCCCTGTTCAGTTTGCGGTCGAACATTTGAGCCTAACAAACGTTCGACCACAAACTTCGAACTTAATGCAAGTCTATGGGACTCGAACTTGTAAATTAAAAAGTACCCATTTTGAAGGCTTATATGCAAGTTATTGGCCATAAAAGGAGTATGGGGTCTCAGGTACTGCCCTGAGGGACATGAATCAGTGAAAAAAAAAATTCAAAAAGTACCATGTTTAAAGGGGCAGTAATTTTTCATTGCTTAAAGTAAATAAACTCCTTTAACCACTAGCCTACAGGGCACTTATACCCCCTTCCTGCCCAGGCCAATTTCCAGCTTTCAGCGCTGTCGCACTTTGAATGACAATTGCACGGTCATGCAACACTGTACCCATATGAAATTTTTATCTTTTTTTGAGACAGATAGAGCTTTCTTTTGGTGGTATTTAATCACCACTGAGATTTTTATTTTTTCTTAAACAAACCAAAAACCACTGAAAATTTTGAAAAAAAAAGTTTTTTCTTAGTTTTTGTTATACAAATTTGTAAAGTGATTTTTCTCCTTGACTGATGTGCGCTAATGAGGCTGCACTGATGGACACTGATAGGTGGCACTGATGAGGAGGCACTGGTAGGTTGCACTGATGGGCATTGACAGGCATCCCTGATGGCCCTGAAAGGCAGCACTGATACATGACACTGATAGGCAGCACTGACTGGCACTGTTAGGCGGCACTGACTGGCACTGTTAGGTGGCACTGATGCGCACTGATAGGTGACATTGACTGGCACTGATAGGTGGCACTGATTGGCAGCACTGATAGGTGGCACTGATTGGCATTGATAGGTGGCACTGATGGGTGAAATTGAAAGGCAGCTCAGATGGGCACTGATATGTGGCATTGATGTGCACTGGTATGCACTGATATGTGGCATTGATGTGGCACTGATGGGCACTGGCACGTGGCACTGATGAGCACTGACTGCTGGCACTGATGGACACTGACAGGTGGCACTTCTGGGGCCACATTGATCGTCAGGGCACACTGATCATCAGTGCCTGATGATCAGTGCACATGTCCCCTCCGCGGAAAGCCGATTACCGGCTCTCCTCTCCTCTCGAGCTGTCAGCGTGACAGCTTGAGAGGAGAGAAATGCCGATAACCGGCATTTCCGTGTTTACATGTGATCAACTGTGATTGGACACAGCTGATCACATGACCGAGCCGACATCTTCGGCTCTTTCCGTGATCCACTGTGTCCGAGGGACACAGCGCACCGGCGATCGGCGCGCTGCGCGCTCCCTGAGCCACGCCTGCGCCGTGAGAATGGAAGGACGTCATATGACATCCTATCAGAACGAGAGAACCAACTTGCGCCCGTCATTGTACTATATGGCGGGCGGAAGGTGGTTAAATATCATGCCTGGGGGGGTCCCCTTAAACTACCTGAAAGGTTGCACAAATGTATAGAACCTGCTGCAGCAAGACTGACATTTTTTTTTTTTTAATTACATTTGTATTTAAAAAAAAAAAAAAAAACAGCGTGTGGTTTCCCCCCCCCCCCCAATCCATACCAGACCCTTTAGGTCTGGTAGGAAGGTTAGTAGGGACACAGTAAAAAAAAAAGTTGTAAAGTGCATGAGGTTCCTCCTTTAGGCCTTTTTAAGGAGAACCCCACCTCCCAAAAAATGGGGAGGAAAAGTGCGTGGGGTTCCCCTAAAAGCCATAACAGGCCCTTTAGGTCTGATAGAATTTTTAAGGGGAACCCCACCCCAAAAATGAGGGAAAAAGCATGCGGTCTCCCCTATATTCCTACCAAACCCTTGATCCGAGCACAGGCCTGGCAGGCAAGGAAAGGGGGGACGAGCGAGTGCCCCCCTCTTCCCGAACCGTACCAGGCCACCTGCCCTCAAAATGGCGGGGGTGATCAGGGGTAGGGGGGCTCTCCCCCAAAGCACATTGTCCCCATGTCGATGGGGAAAAGGGCCTCTTCCCCATAACCCTGGGCTGTGGTTGTGGGGGTCTGCAGGGGGTGACTTTTCAGAATCTGGAAGTCCCCTTTAACAAGGGGGCCTCCAGATCCCAGCCCCTACCCTTGTGAATGAGTATGGAGTACATAGTACCCCTACCCATTCACCAAAAAAGTGTAAAATGTGAATAAAAACAAAAGTCCTTTTTTAAAATAAAAAGCCAAAAAAATGGTTCCATCATTGTAATTCATCAATCACAACATCCAGCACTGTCATGATGACGCTAACTCACCGAAATAGAAAAAAAACAACGCCCATCGACCCGTCCGCACCCACCGAGCACTCACCACTTACCTGACATTTGCTGGTCAGATGTAAACAATTGGGTGGAGCTAAAGGTGACATCACTGCTAGCTCTGCCCAGTCATCACTAGTAAAGAGAAAAGATGAATATGTTGTATAATGATCATAAAATAAAATATATTCACAAAAATACAAAATATTTTTAAATATATGAATAAAATAGGATAATTAAGTGTTCTTGCATGGTAAGACCACTTACTGTTATCTCACATATATATTCCTATTATTATAGCCAAATTTACCACCCTAACTCCTCCCACAGTTTTTACACTACATAGACAGTAATATACCGAAACGTGCGGATTGCTCCCGATTGGTGTGCTATTACTTTGTGGAACGTTTAGCTGAATGGTTCATGAAATATCGGCGTTTTTGTGGTGAAATTGGTCCCATAGGAATGAATGGCGGAATGTTCAAAACTAGAGTGTGAGCTGAAAAATCAGGACATGATTTCTAAACTGCCATCACTCCCTCATTTTCAAGCCCACCTACACAAATCGTATATCAAAACGTTCAGCTATCCCTGTTGCCACTAAAAATGTCCACGGCTAAGCCATAGTCCTGATAGTTTTCACAATATGACCATTTGTTTGCAACTCACGCCGCCCATTGACATTCATTGAAACTGCACTCTAGCCACCTCAAATTTGAAGGGCAATTTCTAAACTGCAACTGTGCCTTCATTTTTAATATTTCAGAGACATACTATGCATCAAAATGTAGGTCTGGGTCTTGTGATTCTCTTCGCTGTAGGATTCATAGTTTTTAAAAGTACGACCATTTGAAGACGCCAGTGAAGTGAGCAATTTGGAGCAGTTTGTTTTTAACCGCTCTTCTCTGCCCTATTTGAAATCTAATTTTGAATTCGTGACAGTTTGGCCGGCTTCTGGTTAAAGGTTTGGAAATAAGTTTTCTACAGTAGAGAGTATTTGAGGTGATAATGCTGCTAATGTTTTTATAAATGTATGTTTTAATGTAACTGTGAAGCACTTTGGGCAACAACATTGCAATTAAATGTGCTATATAAATAATTAAAAGTTGAAATGTTTCTCACTCTATCAAGCTTGTCACATGTACTTTTTAAATTTGATCAATCAATTGGTTAGTGTAATGTTCACTATCTTAACTCACTCCAAACACTCCACACAGTTACTCTGCCCACTCCATAAAGTTACTCTGCCCAGTCCAACCTTTTCACAGTTACTCCAGCCACTCCAACCACACAACAGTTACTCAAGCCACTCCAGCCAGTTACTCCGCCCACTCCAGTTGTAGACTACTGGTGGAGGCAAGAACACTTCACACAATTTCCCCAGAAATTGTAGCGTTTCTAGTATATTATGCAATTAAAATGTATTATCAGGGTCAATTATTAATATAATTTTTTATAATCTATAATTAATATGAAATGTATTTCTATATTTTTTCTTCTTGTATAACATAATGAAGTTTAAAATTATGTACAAAAATATGCTGTGCTGATTCATATACAAACTTATTAACATAAAATACCAAATTAACATAAATCAGAATTGTGCTTACTATAGACATCTGTGTAATTATAATCCAATATCACCACTTAACTGTCCTTCATATAAATGCTCATGCTTAAACAGTGATGCAGTCCACCAATCAAGATAAAGTCCACATAGACAGTTCAATTTATTGAGATCAGATTGTGTAATAGCAGACACCTCCACAAAACCCCTTTTGGACACATGAGTATCTTATGGATTGACCCTCATTACAAAGGTCTTATTGCGCCTTTAATCAAATCAAACAGACTCCATAAACCTAACTGGATTCTCCGTGAACTTTCACTTGGTAAATCTAAGAATCCTCTCAGCTCAGGTGATAAAGCATGGATCAGTGCTCAAAAGGATGCAAAAACTGCCATAGTGCTCATTGAGGTATTTTATTAAGAAAAGAAAGAAAAAAATGCAGTCACATAACTGAATAAGATGGCTAATATCAGTTTAAGGAGAAGTATGGCCAAAGCTACACTATATTGCCAAAAGTATTGAGATGCCTGCCTTTACAAGCACATTAACTTTAATGGCATCCTAGTCTTAGTCTGTAGGGTTTGATATTGAATTGGCCCACCCTTTGCAGCTATAACATCTTCAACTCTTCTAGGAAGGCTGTCCACAAGGTTTAGGAGTGTGTCTATAGGAATGTTTGACCATTCTTCCAGAAGCGCATTTGTGAGGTCAGGCACAGGCTTGCAGTTTCCACTCTAATGCATCCCAGAGGTGTTCTATTGGGTTGAGGTCAGGACTCTATTCAGGCCAGTCAAGTTCCTCCACCGCAAACTCGCTCATCCATGTCTTTATGGACCTTGCTTTGTGCACTGGTGCTTAGTCTTGTTGGAACAAGTTGGGAGCATGAAATCATCCAAAATGTCTTGGTATATTGACACCTTAAAGAGTTCCCTTCACTGGAACTAAGGGGCCAAGCCCAACCCCTGAAAAAAACCCTACACCATAATCCCCCCTCCACAAACTTTACACTTGGCACAATTCAGTCAGGCAAGTACCGTTTCTCCTAGCAACCACCAAACCCAGACACAGCCATTGGATTGCCGGACAGAGAAGTGTGATTGGTCACTCCAGAGAACACGTCTCCATTGCTCTAGAGTCCAGTGGTGGCATGCTTTACACCACTGCATCCGATGCTTTGTATTACACTTGGTGATGTAAGGCTTGGATGCAGCTGCTCGGCCATAGAAGCTTATTCCATGAAGCTCTCTACGTACTGTTTTTGTGCTAATCTAAATGCCACACAAAGTTTGGAAGTCTTTAGCTATTGACTTTGCAGACAGTTGGTGACTTCTGCACATTGTGCTTCAGCATGTGCTGAACCTGCTCTGTCATTTTACGTAGCCTACCACTTCATAGCTGTGTTGCTGTTGTTTCCAATTGCTTCCACTTTGTTATAATAGCACAAATTTCACAGATGGACTTATTGCACAGGTGGCAACCTATCATGGTACCACGCTTGAATTCACTGAGCTCCTGGGAGCGACCCATTCTTTCACAAATGTTTGTAGAAGCAGTCTGCATGCCTAGGTGCCTGATTTTATACACCTGTGGCCATGAAGGTGATTGGAACACCTGAATTCAATGATTTGGAGGGGTGTTCCAATACTTTTGGCAATATAGTGTATTTTGGCTATACTTTTCCTGACGGTCACAGGAGTGCAGTTCGTTCTGCACTCCTATGACCCGTTTTTAGCCAACAGCGGGCTAAATCCCGCTATCAGCTGACATCACTCAGCCGGTCCAGACTCAGAAAAAATCCCAGCTTTACAGTTGGAAACCAACCAGATGTCTGGACCAGCAGCTGGATCAGCCTGTTAGCGAGCTGCCCCCTCCACAGCCTGGAGCTCCAGTGAGCGCTGGAGGGGCAAAGCAGAGAGCAGTGACTGACAGTCACAAGCTTTCTGCTCATTGAAGACTGAGAACCAAGTAATCAGAGGTCACTGATCATTCAGATCTCAGTCTTAGAAGTGGCAGGGCACAGATGCAGCATTGGATCGATGCTACATCCACCTAGCTGAGTATAATTTGTTTTTCTGAAGCCCATACTTTAAAACCATTCCAAAGTTGCTCGGGTAGACAGCTATAACATCAGCAATATACAGATACCTTCGGCTGCATGGAAACCTCTCTTGCAGAGTGCTACCAAGCAATGTCCTACGTGAGTCATTGTTCTGACATCATCAGGGGCACCAGGAAAAACAATCCCAAAAGAGGAATAAAAAGACAAGGCTTCTATTCATTCCAATGGAGAGGTGCATTTTTGATGTGTTTTTTTTTTACAGAACCAAAAATGCAG